AGCAGCCGCGTCCAGTCGACCGGAGAATGGCACGGTTCTCTGCACCAGATTTCCACGTTTACAAGCACCCTGGCGCTTCTCCTCTTGCGGTAGATCTATGGAGGCCCGCTGAGTACAGATTCGATCATGAGCTACTGTGGTGAAACGGGCCAACAAAGACACAGCAGCGTGCGGTCTCGAGCTGCACGCGCGCCTCATGCTGGCGGCGAGATAAAACAACCCGACCCGGGCGCCGACCTGTTGCGAGATTAGCGGCAATCAGCATCCGGCCTTCCTGTCTTTGATACAGGCTTGTACCATTCTTAAGTACTCGACTCAAGGTACTGTATTTAAAATAGTTTTGGTAGTATTCTGGCATTTTGAAAATACGCTAAAATATTTCCGACTTGATCAAAATTAGATTACTCACTATGTTGTACTCTGTTCAACAAATACATTTTTCAGCGCTATACGCCTCGCAAGTGGGCTCATTTTCGTCTTCTGCGCACGAGAAAGGAAGTAGCGGTGACGTCAGAACGCCGAGTCCTGATTGGCTGATCACGACCCCCTATCTGAGCGTCGTCTGCTCCTTTGCAACGTCGTCTGCTCGCAACGTCGCCTGCGTCTGTCTTACCTTTCCTGCGACTTTCGGAAGTGCGGGTCTTTATGAGCGACCTCGACTTCGCCTTTCAGAGAGGGCAGACGAAATAATTCGAGCGGTATGTTGTTTTTGTCTAACAACTAGCAGACGCGCATCTTGGAGGGAAGTCAAAGGACTCACTGGCGAGGTGTCCCGAGGCGCCGAGGTTTGTTTGCTAAGAACTCAGAGTGAGCGAGTTAGTGTCCGCAAGTTCCCTCCCAAATACTTTTTCCCTCCTTCTGTGTGCGGCGAGACTCCTCACTCTTTAACGGCGTCGGCGGGTTTGCGCAGTTAACGTCGTCTGCTTTACGTCTGCTAGTCAAAGCGATGGCTGCTTTACCTTTCCTGCGTCTGTGGGAGATTCACGCTTTTTCAGCGGCGAGAGTCACCGTTGCCTCGGAAAACAAGGAGATGACAAGAGGAAGAGATTGACCTCTTGATCTAAAATTGAGGTCAGCGATCAAAGTATAATACGGGAAGGGTTCACGAGGGTCGCGTGTTTATATTCCATTCAGCACGCCAGCCAGTCGTGGACAGACGGTCGCCAAGTCGGAGTGCCTGCTAGGCCAATCTGCCCCGCTCACTTGGTCGTTGTCGGTGGAATCGTGGCCGTTGGAGCTTTTTCTGGGTGTTTGTGGATCCAGCGTTCTTGTTCGTCGTGGTCTGTTTCAAGTACTTTTTACTTTTTCTTGCTGCTTGAAGCCGGGACGCGTGAGAAGCGCACGTAGGAAAATAAACGTCCGTGGGTCGTCGCGACCGCGGCTCTGTCGGCCATGCTGATTTGATCGTAAAAAGTGCGTAAGATAGCTTCGGAGCTGTGGTAGGATTTCGTCGTAACCTGCGCAAAACTTAAGAAAATTTCGTTTCGTGAATACGAATTTGTTCTTAAGTTTTGTCTTACGAATATTTTTGGCGTAAGATCGTTTCGTGAATCTGGCCTCTGCACTTCCGAAAGTCGCAGGAAAGGTAAGACAGACGAAGTTGCGAGCAGACGACGTTGCAAAGGAGCAGACGACGCTCAGATAGGGGGTCGCGATCAGCCAATCAGGGCTCGGCGTCCTGACGTCACCGCTACCCCTGCGCAAGAAGCAGACGAACTTGCCCTCCACATAATCTGTACCGAGAAGAATCTACGGAAATCTGGACCGCCAGATTTCGGGGCAGAACTTAGTCTATTGGAAACTTTTAGTCAAGCGACCGAACACAAAACAGCAAACAAGGCGCGAGAAAAAAAATAGCCGTTTTGTAAGCCAACCGGTCCAGTGACACACACAATGTCTTCTCTCCCGCTGCTGGGTAACAAGTCCGACCGCAAGCTGGGGGACCAAGTCACGCTTTCGAGATGACCGCTGCCCCGGTCAACTCCAGCACGTACCCCTGGAGCCCTGCCCATCCCATCATGGCCATCCTGCCAGCCTTGCCCACAAGCTGCATTTAAACATAATCAGCACTTTGAAATACCATTCCATCACAATGAAACGCGGTGACGCATGCCATTGTGGCATGGGCGACTTGCTTTTCTGCGGCACCGCGGCTATTCTGAGCAAGCATAAATATCGAATAACAAATATCCAAATTCCAAAGAAAGACCAAATTAATAGCCCCAAGTACGGCCGCCTCTCTGTATCGCATTGTCTTCTTGTCCACTTTTCTTTTTCTTTTTTCTTTTCAAGTCTCTTTTGAATGGCACGTCATGTTTTAAGTTAGCAAAGTGCTGGCGACATCATTTTTGCACTTAGACCCGATATTTTGTCTGCGGCTGAGGTGGTTCTGTCAGCGGAAGTTTTTGACGCCAACACTCGGTACAATCACGCTGAACTATTATCCAAAATTGCCGGTGTTGGGGGTTCTGGTACTCAAATGCGCGAGCACGTTTTCATGCGAGCAGATGCGTTCCCTCTCCCTCGGCCAAAAAAGCTAAATCCTGCTGGATTTATTGTGCTGCAGTGACCCTGATTGGTTAACACCGCTGCTTAGGCTAGTTGGTGTTCCATGTTTTTGTACTTCACAGCGCATGAACGTCTCACAAAAGCAGGCACTCTCTCAATTACAGACACAGAAAGATAACACAGTGCCTAACTCACAACTCTTTGTATTTTGTCTTCGTTTTCCTCTTATAGCAAGCACAAAATCTAAAAATTGTTTTTTTAATTTTTTCTTTCTTTCTCTCCGCCTAATAAAATGAATTCGTAACATAGTCCGGGATTATCGTCTTAAGCTAAAGTAAGCCAATTTTGTCTTTGCAGATAAGGTGAGAAAAAAAGAAAGAAACCCAAATGGGGCTTCTCCAAACATTGCATTGTGCCTATTGAGGCTTAATTTGTGCTCCCAATCTCGCTCAAACGCGTTTGTTTCATCTGTATTCGAATGCGCGCATTATTTTATCCTCAAAATCCTCGAAACAAGTTTTCGGCAATGTGGAGTCAGTTATTTCTAAACTGGTAAAGTGTGATTATGGAATCTTGACCATATTGTACTGAATGCTGTCTTTAATGAAATTTAACACATTTAGGACTGAAGTGAACGTATTACAACCGTGTTCTCATCCAATCAACCCGTGTACTTAACTTCACACAGGAAGGTTTGGAAGGTTATACCCTGTTGTACTGAACGTGGTACTGAAATGATGGAATGTATAATGCCTGAACTGTTAAACTTTCTTGTAGAAAAATAACTTTACTTAAGCGCTATCCCACCAAGAACTTGCATTCGTAATTTCCGTAGAAGATACTTCAGCAACTGATTTCACCTCTTTGTGCATGTTTTATATGAGCTAGCACTGTCCGCTACATAACGTGCATTCCTGCCGTGCTTTCTTCATTTCTTGTGTGAAATAGCAGTGCACGTATTTAACATTGATACCATGAAACAATATGTTTATTTGCTGCAAAGCCAATGTATGGTTTAAAGGCTTAGTCAAACCTCCATTGAGCACTTTGCCCTTTCTTTATCATTAAACCTCAAATTAACTCATTAATAGTTCTAAATGGTGCAGAAAGGGGCAGAGGGAGGGGTTTTAGAAGCGGTTTTGAGGAGACTATACTGTGTTTCCTGTCTCCCTCTAGACATTCCGAATTTTGTTTTAACAGTTTGAAGGTACGGGTGCACCTTTAACTTAAGACAATGCCCGAGACTGGGGAAAGGAAGGACGAACACAGCTTATTACGATAACAAAAGAGGGACATGGAATGCCTGCGTCGTCTGTTTGTCTTCGAATTCACTCTTTTGTTATCGTTATTTAAACACCAACACGCTCAACCATCCACACAAGCAGAACAAACACCTGAGTTGCGTTCCTGACTCGACGTGACCACTTCTATGTTCAATCTCTGAAGGGCCGCTGAGTGCGGTCTCGGTCAGGAAGTGCCTTCATGATGGCAGCTGCTTTTTAGTTCGTTATTGATGTTCGGCTGCTAGTTCCGCACTTCGCGCGTATTTCCTCCTCAGTTTTTCGTCCGTCTCAATCAAAGAGAGTGTTTGGTATAATGGCTTTCAACGCGTTCTGCCCACACTTTCTATATATTTCCTTTGTAAAAGAACTGACGCTTTTCTTGGTGACGGTTAAACCGTATGGTAAGAATTAAGAAAGAACGCGACAATGGAAACACTTCCTTTAAAAGAAACAAGTGCGCTTCTTTTTCCCTGTCGAGTTTTCTTCATGCTTCTCAACCTCAGGAGGTAATTTTATGAGCCTTATTTTTATTCGAGATTTCTTGTGTCAGTTATCATAGTTATAAGTGATAGTTTGATATTTTTAGAGCCTGTACTCAGTTGCAGAGATGATACATAAGCACGAGACACACGCTTAAAAAATTCTAATTACACCGGCGTTACGCTGCTCCAGTGATTTTCCTACACACCTCCTTGTTTTTCTGAAGGCACCCCCTTGATTCGCAACGACTCCTTTATTCTCAATGCCCCTCTTAATCCCCCCCCTCCCCACTAATTTCCAAAGATTGGAATCGCTTACCTACATCATTCACATCAATTAATGACCACGCACTTTTTTGTACATCTATTGCCAATTTCATGTTCCCTGTTCTTTAAGTATTGTATATTTTGTTCCAATTGTTTATTATATTTACTATTGCTCCCACTCCCCTCTGTAATGCCATGTGCCCTGAGGGCAAAACAAATAAATAAATAAATACATTTAAATTGCTGGGGAAACTCCTGCACTGCTCCTTGCAGATTGCAGCCATATCTCGGACGTTCTTCGACACGTCTGACGCCGTGTTTATTGTGTCTCTTCTATTAGGCATACTACAGCTTGACTATTTGTGAAGACTTTGAGATATCTTATAAAAGGTTCGAATGAATGTGAACAACAGCACCGGATGTTCCTGGCGGGCTGAAAGTGATCAGCGCCCAGAGTACGAACCTCGACGTGATCCAGCGGTGTCCCAACCGTCCGAATCCAGCAATCCTTTGGTTCATCCGGATTTGTGCTGCTGAAGATCGGACTGGTCTCGGTGGCGCCGTACATTATCTGAAATGACACGAAAATGACACGTTAGGGTTAGAAACCTGATTAAACTGGAAATGATGTCGTAGTAAAGAGGCCGCTTCAGGAGAGCTTACGTACGTATAAACTTTGGACGTTCAGCTTTGTTCGTGCCTTTTCAGCAAGGGTAGGATTACATACGGACCCGGACAGCACACCTGCGAAAGAAACGGCCAAAGTCAAAAAGCATTCAAGAGCCAAGGTAATAGAGTTACTTGAGGGCAAAACGCCGGCAGAGTAAAATAAAGAGAAGGCTCAGGTAAAAAGACGAAAATTGACGTGGAAACTTTACCGAAGCCGCCACGATAGCCAAAGGATTGATTTACACGCCCAACGTTTTAACACCTTTAATGGTGCATTTGGCCTGCCCCAAAGTTAGTATCTTTATCGTGTAATAAATCACCCTAGAAAAATAGTGCAACTTCGATCAGCACTGAAACGGTTCTTCAGTTAAACCAACCTTAAATAACTTATGTTTTAGCTCTCTAAATATAAGGCGCAAAGTCTTAACAGACTAAAAGTTTGATTTATTGTTCTAACACCCTCAAATAATTTTTTTACGCAGTTTAATTATTGTGTAATTTTTTGGATCACACGTCTGAATGTGGTGTAAAGATGGAATAAATGGCATTTATTGAACAGGGTGTGAATATTACAAGAACTCCTGCCAAGAATCTACGGAAAACGACTGAAAACTTAACACAAATATACCTGAGTCACTTCAATATTTCACTTTATTGAAGGAACACGTTTCAATACAGATTCAATAAAACACTTGTAACGCAGCGTTTCGCGCTTTTGGACAAAAAATATAGCCAAGAAACAAACAAAATAGCTCAGCAGATTGCATGGAATTTTGGCATGTACCTGAAAATCTCACACCAAAAACCTGATTCAATTTATGTACAAGCCTCCGCACGTGCGTTGGCTTTTAAAACGTGTACACGTACACGTACCACACACACGCGCACTCACATAAACACAAGGTCTTCCTTGATGTTTGTTTGTATTAGTTTTGTAGCCGCGGCTGAAATTTCCTGGCACATTAGTTGACGATGTCCTAGACGCTACAGAAGATCACACGTTTCTCTTAAATCGTCATGTTCTGACAATCTTGTCTCCAATTGAAGCAAACATTTGTCCCAAGATCAAGCGAGTCCTCGTGAAGACAAGCATTAAGGACACCATGAGTTATTTCTGAAGCAAGCAACTGCATCTATAGCCCACAAACGCATGAATAAGGATAGCAGCGGCATTTCCTTCGCGAGCCAAAGGTTGTTGAAAGAAAGCACAGTGAAACTTGCTTCTACAACCCCCCCCCCCCCTCCCCCATTCTTATCGGCCGTTTCCACGTGCATGGCGTACCTTCTGATCAGTCAAGCAAAATAGCACAAACACTGCTCCACGGTCGAGCAAGGGGGACGATTCAGCATTTGCTTCCTCCCTATGTGAATAATTACGGGCCCTACCTCGCGTTCAATTCAATAGTACGCTTGAAGTAGGCCACGAGACTATATGGTTAGGCCCCGAGATGCGTAGGGTGCATAGTCACGTAACCTTTTCTGACTCTCTCATAGGCCTACAAAGCCCATAGCATAGGTTGCTGCTCATTCTATAGGGTGGTCCAAGTCACCAGGCTCGATCTAAAATGGACAGTAAAAATCGACGCCTGCACGCACCAATCTAAATTTTTCGTCAAATCTGTATTTTACAGGTCGTTTTTTCCTTGTAAAATTACAAATCGTAGCTCTCTTTTTGTAAAAAATAAGGCCAAGAAACTTGCCAGGGTCTACGGCGGGCAGCCATGCAGACGACAGGGGTCCAGTAGCAGGGTGTGTTTGGCGTTCGTATTGATAGATGGCGCTACATCCTTATCACGACGGCTAGCGACCACCGTGGTTTATTAAAATAAACATAATCTTTTTGAAATGTACCTTCGGTTAAAAAATAATTGAGAACAATAAAAGCAAAACTTATAGTAAAAAAAACGCGTCTGCATAACGGCGGTGCTTTTGCTGCCAACGGATTTCGTCAGCGTGTCGTCTGCTTTCATTCGCTGGTCGGCTGCGCCTTCAGGCGCTGCCCCCAACGCCATCTATCAATACGAACACCAAACACACCCCACTACGGGACTTCGTCGTCTGGGGCACCGCCCGCCGTAGACCCTGGCAAGTTTTTTGGCCCTATTTTTTAGAAAAAGAGTGCGATGCATTGTAATTTTACAAGAAAAAAACGAGCTGTGAAATACACCTTTGACGAAGAGTTTAGATGGCTACGTGCAGGCGTCGATTTTTACGGTCCATTTTAGATCGAGCCTAGTGTCTCAAAAAAGGTAGCGTGAATTAAGAAAGAGGTTACGACGAAGGGCGTTTCTTCAAAAACAGAAGGAGAAAAACATGCTTCTTTTAATTGATGTAGTTGGAGTTGTCTGTAACGTCAGCGTCGTTTTGAAACATAAATACGGTGACGTAATTCAAAAAGTGTACATTTAAGGCCACTATTATTGCGTTAATTCGGCTTGTTTCTACACTAATCAACTGTTCCCATAGTTCACGGATATTGTCGTCATAACACTACTGTAACGATATATCTCTCGATTTCCAGGTCCCTCGTCTTTTTTTTATAGTGTCATGGCAAACCCTGTCCAGGCGGTGAGCCCCAGAATGCAGCAAAGTTTAGTACGTTTATTACGATTGATGAGTTCGACAACCGTGTTAGATTAATACTCAATATGAGGAAAGCAAAAGACAAACAGGGGGCAGAGACAAAAATGTACAAGCTTTCACTAAATTTGGATTGAAAGCTTGCAAATGTCTGTCTCCGCCCCCTGTATGAGTTTTGCTTTCTTTGTGCTGAGCGTTACCGTCTGTTGCGTTGCAGTAAAAATTTAACTGATTTGTGCAATTGGCAGGTCGACCTCTCCGGAACGCGAATGCTATCGATTATATTAAAATGCAACGCTTTATACATAGCGCGGCATTGTGAATGACAAACAGTTATGGCCACAAACAGGGTGTAAAATCCAGGATTGAGCTTTAGTTGTCCCGCCCTCAGCGCGAACGTCCTCCCAGTCCTACCTTCGACAATGTCACGGAGTCTCGTACAATTTGAGAGAGCGCGCGCGCGCAGTCAAAGCACGGCGGAAAGCACGATGCGCAGGCTGGAGGCAGGGCGTTCTAAAGAAACGCCCTACCGCTTTCACTTTCTCTTTAGCCTTAGTACTCTTTTTCCTTCAAATCAATCTATTTTTATCAAACCCATTTGCTAGGCAGGAATTGATCGTGGGGAGCGCTAAAGCAAAAATGGTCGATATCATATTCACTCTAACAGTGTTGCGCAGTGACATCTCGAGACTGGTAGCTTAATAATTACATCAGGGTGTTTTGTTTTATTTTATTTTCAAAAGACAGTAGCCAGCACCATATTTTATTTACTATGTCGTTTAACGCCTTAGTCTGTGGTGCAGAAAAGGAACAAAGGTCTATGAACATTTTCATGCTCATAAATTCATGAACCACTAGCTACTAAAGGTCTTTCTTCTCCTAAATCCTCCTATGCAATAGTTTCATCTCTTGGTGCATCATAGTCTCAGTGGCTTTTGCGCCATAAAACCTCAGTCTACTACTACTACTACCTTTCGTACGCGCATGCCGCAGTTGACTCGGCTCTGCGATAAAAGCTGAACGATCGCTAAAGGTGCTGCGGTCTTCTATACAATGCCTCGAAAGAAACAAACAGAAATTTCAGAAAGGCATCTCTGAACACGGCGGCGGTACACTGAAGATCAGCGCGTATTTCGTGCCACTAAAACACTGAAAAGAAAGAAGAAAAAACAAACAGCGCATCAATGTGGGCCAAGAAGCGAGCCGGGCTCATCGGCTACGGCTGAGAGTCGACAGAAAGATAGAGATTCGGCTCGATTTAATCAGCAAAATATGACCCTTAACAAAAAACAAAAAAAACATTGGAATTTTTAAACATGTAGTCTGCAACGGGCAACTCAAAAAGCAGCCCCGTCTTTTATACTAAGGATATTAGTTCAAATATATCATCCATAAGTTTGATTAAGGGTTGAAAAACGCGCGAGAAAAATCGACTGAAATGTGCTTAAAAATTAAACTTAAAAAAATTGCTCCTCACCGTTTCCCAAGAAACAAACCACACGAAGGTATTTATGTTAGAAAAAATGGAAACATCTTTTAACAAGACCATATCTACAGCTTACGTGAAGAAAATGTGCAATGTATTGTTAGCGTAAAATATATCGCAGAGGTTTCAAATTCCGTCAGATTTCCGCAAGGTGTTTGTCAGATGCGTTTCAACTTTCACTTCCGCAATTATTACCGTAAAAGTTAAAAGTGCAATCGCGTTATTTTTACTCTTGTTCGTGGTGTACAAGCTGCACGGCAGTGAGTGCAGGTGAGGCGCTATAGAAGGCAAAGATCTAGCGCTTAGAGTATTTACTAGGGGCAGCGTTAAGGTGAGCCGAAATCCAGGCGTTGTCAGAGCATGCGACGAAATTGATTAATTGAATCAAACATCCATACCTTTTCTAAGAGATGTAACGTCGTACGACCCTTGTTCAAGCTCGCGCATCATCTCGAAGAGCATAGACGGTGTAGCGTAGGCCACGGTGCATCTGGAATATTGAATGAAATTTTCAAGCTAGACCAGCGAATCGTAGGCGATTTTGCTCATGTTTTCAGTTAATATGCAAATTGTGGTATCCAATGGAGTCAAACTATGGTTAATACTTTGAACTATTGCATCAGGAGCGAAGATGGGCGATACGCCTTTCTTCACGAGGAATGCTGTCTTAGCTGAATCGCCACGCCGTCGATCAGGTCTAGTCATTGACTGCTTCAGAGAGCTTAGCGACGTAAAGCCGTGCGTACGGAGGAGAAAATTGAGAGTGCAACCTGTAACTTACAGACGGCAGTGAATAGACGCAATACAGCGTAAATATTATTGGCGGCTGATTTAAAACTAACTAAAACAGCCTAACGTTGAAGTAAACAGATTGGTAAATACTAAAGTATAGGTAGGTCCCCGACGTGGATTGGTCTCGAAGATGGCTACCTGAGGAATCGTTATGGTGTTCGCTTGACATGACGGTGATGCAGTAGAAAAACTGTACAACATGCCTCGCCCATTGTCCAAACTTTAACCATGACTATGACTCTGGGCGAACACAAGCATGCTTTGAGGCTGCTAGTTCGTTCATACAGAAAATTATTACTGTGCAGATCGTTTTCTTGTTATCTTCGATGGTAGAAAAGGCTGCTTTTGCGATGACGTTCTGTATGTTCTTATAGGTATTCTGAAAGGTCAGCAAAGAGTTATTTTTTTGTACTTGGTTTATTATCTTAATTATTATCCAGTGTTATTTCTCGCATTTATTAATGATATCATGACAAATTCTGATTCAACAAAGTTGGTCATGTTCGCCGATGACACAAATGTATTTTTCATTGCTAGGTCTAAATCGGCTCCAGAAAAATCAGCAAACGAATATCTAAGAAAGCTGTCGTCCTGGCTTGAAAATAGCAAATTACAACCCAATACGCATAAAACCAAATATATAATCTTTAGACCTGTAAATAAACACAGCGATGGCTCGATTACCATTAAATTTGAAGATAATTTAATCGAACAAGTGCATTATCAAATATTTTTGGGTATTTGGTTCAATGAAGAGTTAAAATGGATAACCCATGTGGCGAATCGGAAGTCAGAACTAAGCAGGTCGGTTGGTTACATGCAAAAATAGCAACGCTTGTTCCTACTTGGTTAATGAAAATGTAGTATTACACTACTTTATTCTAAAATATGCTACGGAATTTTGGAATGGGGCACTACAGGCGTTTGCAATTACGACAAAATATTTGTTATAAAGAAAAGAGCGCTACACCTTCTCGAAAACTACAAAGGAAATAAAATCCAATTTAATAACTCATACAATTTCACCAAACACGCAATTCTTAAGGTAAACCAAATATATTACTTAAAACTATTGCAAGCGATATATAAGGAAAGACTCCATGAAACAAATCAAGACCGTTCAAATAATCGATTTACATTTCGGCATGACAAAAGAAGAAATCCGAGCATGCGCACAAACTACGGAAAGCAAAAAATGAGTTATCAGGCACCAAATTTGGTGAATCAGGTTGGCAATCACCTCGATTTTTCTGTTTCTTATCTAAACTATAAACAACTGCAAAGATCATTCTTATAACACACAATATCACTTACTCATATTCACCAAAGTTAAGCCTGCAGACATATATATTATCTTTATGACTCTCGATTGGAATATATTTAACATTACTTCACCATGTCACCATTCCCGTGCGGATCTGGGATGCGTCTTCTACTTGCTCTTGTTTTTCCTGATGACCACTTTAGTTTCCCGTAAAATATATTATATTTTATTTATCAATATTTCGTCTCTTCTTGCAGTTCAGACTACTCTCATAGCAACAAAAAGCTGTGACAAGTTTTAATGTTGCTTGTGCTTCCCATTTTATCGCCGTTATTTCCTGCGGATCTGAAATGAGTGCTTTACTGTGCTTTAGACCATGTTATTGTTTTATTCGCGTGACAATTTTGTATTGCGTGAAATATATTCACCCTTAACTGTCCATATTTTTATGTCTCTTCTTGCCTTTTAAATTGTAACTTTTTAGAAGCCACTGAGGGCTGACAAGTGTTGCTGTTGTTTCTGCTTCCGATTTTATTACAATTTTATTTTAACAGTGTCGATATTGCTATGTTGGTCGGCGTTTTAGTCATGAAATGTGGTGCTGGCATATTTTGTATCCTGGCAAATGTACCCTGCATGCTGCTCTGAACTGTACAGGGGGTGGGGGCCCCGTCAACATCGGCCTTTTGCCCCTGTCTCCCTACCCGGCATTGCCGGTGAAAATCAAAATAAAAATGAAGGAATTAATTTTAGCAGAGATGAAGATTCGGAAGGAAGATTGATAAATCCTTAAAGTACCAGTATTGAAGTCAAGTGAGTGTCACTGAATCGTTCATTAGATGCCAGTTTTACATATCTGTACATCTTGTAAAGCATTTAAAAATTTCATGTTCTAGCACTTGACTGTGTTTTTCTTTTGTGAATTTAGTTTATATCGGGCTAAACAACCCGGGATAATACAAGGTATATCGAGTGAAACTGTGCTTGTTCACACTACATGTGAATTAGCTGCAGTCATCAATATGAGTGGGCGGCAGGTGTTATTTATATTTGATATTGCTTAAGATTTTGATTACTTCCTATACAATAAACTGCAGTATAAGTTGCGTTGCATCACTACTACCAATAATATGTCATACGGCGGTTAGAGCTGATCCTAATTATTCTTAAAGTTTGTGAGCGTTGACACTGTATTTATACCTAAGTCGCCGTTTTTCTTTGTCGTTTCTTAAGGCGCAGTTCTTGAGTGGCTACTGTTCCTCGTGATTATGGATAATGTTAATGCAGAAGACTTATCAATTCAATCTCACTGTGTTTCGGACAACTGAATTTTTATTCTAAATTCAAGTTTGTTTCTTATCGAAGAAAACAAAATATTGTATCTCATTGATTTATTCAAGGCGCATAAAATTAGGTATGATCTTGAACACCAAATGTTTCTATAAATATATATGACGCGAATAGGCAAACATATATTTCTTATTCTAACGGTCTAAACTACTCGATTATTTTAGTTAGTACTAATAATTTGGTAGTGAACTTTGACCTGGAGTCCCCACATTTACTTCAACGCCATAACGGTCGTGCAGAAGCTTTGGTATTTGAAGCGTAAGCTTTGTCACAGAGAGCGAGAAACCCGTACAACGAATTATTGAATCAGAGTTGAAGAATAAGACAAATCTTAACAAATTGGAACAGAAATAACTGTAGATATACAATTTTCAAACCGTGTAAAATTAATTAAATGGGAATATTATAAACAAACACGGGCTTCTCAATTCCATGGTGTTATGGCACACGCCATAGTGATATATACCTTCGTAGGAGGACAAACTCTGTTTAGAAAGGGTCTGTACCAGCTTCATAGAGAGATGTTTTACGGCATAGGATAAAGTGGGTGGCAAGTTAACAGAGTTAATAATATGGCTACATTTTAAAATCGTGGGTCCGTGCCTGACCTTAATGCCGCATTGTAGTCATCTCTTTACGACACCACAGAGGATAAAGAGGACGCGAATTGACATATGTGAAAGGCCTGCTTCACCTGTGGTTTGCGATGGTCTCTAGGGTCGCTTTTGGCGAGAATGCAAGTCCCGGCATCATTACGGTGCAGCCAAACATTGTGGCAGCCAACACGCCCAGTGTTCTGCCGAATCCGTAGATCAGCTCGCCGTTCAGGCAAATCGACTCAGGCTGCATTCAGAAACAATCAACAAGACAATAAAAAAAATAAAAAAACGTCTTCAGTGTTTCACAGCTTTAAGCAAGCATGAGCTCGAAGATAAAAGTGGCGGATTCTGTAATGTAAAATCTTCCTATAAAATTTTTCTTTGCAGTGAGATTGGAAAGCACTGTACTGAAGGACGATTCATTAATGCTGCAGGCTGCGTGTTACAACTTTATTGGACCTGTTATAGTTGAAAAATCGAAAATAAAATGCACGTTACTATCATAACGAGGTGCTTAAAAAACTTTTCCAAGCGAAAGTGTATACTAGTACATGCCTGAAAATATATGAACTTTATTTAGCCGATCATTACAACAAGCCGCCTTGGGGCTTCGTTAATCTGACGTCACGGAAGGACGAACCACCGTAATAAAAAGCGAATGCATATATTTTCTGCTGGAACAAGTGCCTTCGCAGCTCTGGAAGAAAAATAGTGCCATGTCGACAATCCGCTCGCATTGCGGTGCAACGCTACCGAGACGTAATTCTTAGCAGAAATGTTTCCTTTTCGCTTGAATTCAGAGCACCCCAAGTCAGCAACCTTTTAAATGGTAATGAAGAGCTCTGCAATATCGACATAATATCGCCGAAGGGCAATCTTTGGTTGAGCTCTTTTTGAAGATTACAGCAAGGCTTCAGGTCATGGCAAAATATGTCGGGTGTTAAAAATGTCCGTGTCTTGAAGCCACCTCTCCGTTCCTTCTTTTTTTTTAATTTCAGTAATGTCGAGTGGCTCCACTTTTAGCTGGCGCTATTTCTGCAGTTAATAATATATAAAAAAATATTGCAGAAACCAATTATTTCGGAGGGCACAGGGATATCATTCTATTCATTAATATTCAAATCTTGGAATATCAACGCGCTCGCGTAGTTCATAGAATGGGAACAAAGACAGCGCGTACGCAGAAGCAAATTTTAGAATTGAATTTGTTCACTTGTATTTTATGTAAAATTAGAACAGAAAACAGCTAACCTTTTTTTTTGCTTACGGTATACTAAATGAGCGCGACCAAGCGAACATGTAACAAAAACAAAGACTTAACTGCGATATATAGCAGCGTTGCTCCCCTCCTACGGACCTTCTTATCTCCCTAGTTAGAAAAGCGGTGGACAGAGGGCGCTGACTCAAGCGCCGCCATAAGGTGGCTTCAATTTGGATGATATTGTTTTCAGCGGGCTTGAGGTTTTGTTGGTGTTTATTATGTCGCTCTCGCTCAGTTTCTTTTTTATATCAACGGGGCGTGTCCTGTGGTACGAATTAATGATACACTTATAATGGGCCACCTTGAGAACTGCAACATAGTTACGAGCCTAAATTGTAGACGTTCTTACGAAAGAATTTATCTCATCATGTTCTTCGTGCGGCCAGGTTCGGCGGCGAAGAGATTGAAATGACACAGGGAGAGGATTACAGATGTCTACGGCCGTATTGGACGCTCCAGCTGAAACAAGTGTTTATAAAAATAAAGTAATGAAGAGACTAATGCTTGCAGGCACCGTGAAAAATGAGGACGATACCTGACTATCAACGTGCTGAATCACACAGAAGAGATGAACTCGCAAGTTCAGTTCTCACAGTTCGGTTTTCATGGACTCAAACGTTTTGTGCGAATTTCCGACCGAAAAACACCGTGAAATAACCCATGGAAAGCAAAAAACGCAAACGATAATGTCTCCATCAATTTCTTTAAAAAAATGAAGTGCTCAAGATATGTTATGATGGTTCATCCTTGGCAAAGTATGATATATTTTTTTCATCTTTCAGCCCTGCTAAAATAATCTTTACCAGCGTTTCACAATGTTGACTTTAGGGTTTATTTGTTATAAGGATATATCCTTAGAACATATTGCGATTATGAGATAAGAGACAAATTCCTAAATTAATGCATGACGTCGGCTTTCATATAATTTACGAAATAAAATTAAATGGAGCAAGGGAATTTACCTCCAGCAGGCTTGGCTCAAGTCAAATGCCAGGCACTACTTCATAGATTTGTGCAGACAGATTTTTATTTGTTTGAATTGATACAGGTTTTACTTTCAGCAGCGTGTAAAGGAAATCCGGCATCGACAACGTTGCACGCAAGTGATTTCCATGCAAACGGCTTCTTTTTGGCGTCACGTATTGCGTGCGTCAGCCACATTCATCAGGCGCTCTAAAGCAGTCTTTGTCGCGTTTTTCACCCGGGGAGCCAATTATTTGTGTGTAAATAAATTAATTGAATTGGATATGTTAAAAAAACATTTAATGACTGCAGACACGAGACCGAGCGCAATGTAGTTTTTTAGTTTTTTTTTTAATTCATAAATGAACTGATCTAGCGAACGGTTATACCGCAAAAATGATTCCCTCATTTAATCAAAATAAACTGTTCCGGATTTATTATGAAGGCAGACCATGGGGCTTTCAAAAAACGCAGAGAGTCACCACTTGCGTTGATATTGCCTTATTCTTCAAGATCATAAATGCGTGATCATAAATGTACATTGGGCTTCTTTTTGGGACACTAACACTCAGCAACAATCTCCTCAGCAAATTTACACTGTCATAAAAAATCGGCCTTTCCATCCTTGCCTGTCTTAGAGACATCTACATACCAGATTGGCGCCAGTGTTAAAGGTGATAACTTTTCTCACACGCATCCGCTACGCCAACGGCGCAAATAGCTATAATCTTTTATAAAATAAAACGCAGATGTTCACATAAAGATCGCATGCAGCTCGCCCGTCAAAATACGTGTCGGACGACATTTCACATATCAAGACAAAAATGTGCAGCAATATGATGGGAAAAAAAAAAGAAAACGAATGCAACGCCTTCTCCAAGACGCGGAGTGGAGACAGGAGCGAAGATGTGGAGCCACCTTATGGCCTCCGCGTCACAGGATTATAAGATGGCAGTGCCTATGCGACGGATTGTGAAAAGGTCTATAGAAAGCTAAACTCCTTTATCAGCTTTGTAGATGCCATCGGCCTTTCACTTTGTCACCTTCTGTTTGCAAGCGCTATCTGATAGCGAACCTCCCAGAATTCCGGAGTATAATTTTGCAAAGTGCGCAAGCTTGAAGTCTGAATTCGTCCTAACTCAGTGGTCAAGAAGGCTGCAATATTCCCTTAAATTTGAACTAACAGTGCCACGGTGGAGATTTGATATAAAGTTTGAAGCGTGAGAGTGAAACAGTTTGGCCGACTGCCGGGTCCTTCGACCGTCGAAAGGGTGATCCCCTCTCTTCCACCTATGGGTGCCCTGCAGATCTAACTCAGTGCCGAGACGCACTCCTCGTGGCGGCGTCGCACGTAGTCATCGGGAAGCGATGTCGGCAGTTGCAGCTCGGCTGCAGTGGTACGCCGGTGGGTGTTGCAATGTCGACATGTCTACTTGCAGGCACGTAGCCAGGGGGTGGCCCATGGGGCCCCGCCCCCCCCCCCCCCAAATCTTCCATTTTGCTGGGACCTCCTCTCCCCCCTCCCCCTCATACAGCATCTTGTCATGGGCGGCGCCCCCCCCCCCCCCCCCCCCCCCCCCCCCCCCCCCCCCGAAACAGAATCCTGGCTACGTGGCTGCCTACTTGGGCTACCACGTTGGCGGAAGCGCGGGAGCAGCCTGAGAGGCGGCGAGGCACTACCGCTCGCCCTACGCTGACTCAAAACTGGCCGCGGGCGGCGCTGTTCGCCGGGTGATCGTAGAGTTCCTGCATATAGCTACCTACTGTAGCAGAGTTGCGCATTCAGCCTCGGCGGGTGGCCGTAGCGTCGGCTTTCCCTCACGCCAGGGATGCTTTGCTCCTCACGTGACTAAATTTGGCGAATAGCGGCGCCGCGCGCGCCGCCGCGCGTGGAAAACAGTAAAAGAGGAGAAGGAGGCGAAAGCAGGGGAGCATACGCCGGGGCGCGAGCAACGTCGGCGGAGCGACCGTAAAGGTGGCTTTCTCGCACGGCGCCGGATGCTTTGCTCCTGACGTGATGGGTCTCGGCGAATAGCGGCATGGCGACGCGGGGAAAACAAATGCTCAACTATGCTCCCCCTTCGGGGGAGCATATTGAGGAACTCTAGGCGATCGGTAGCGTCTCCTAGCGGACGCAGGGTGCCTATTCGGCGCTCATAATACTCCTCGGTTCTTGGGCACCGTAAAGCTTGACGCACATAGGGCATACGTTCGACATGTGTACGCGCGTTTTAGCCGGCGCAATGACGGCATTTATTCTGGGTGTTTTCCAGAAAGGTAACGACGGAGAGATCGCCCAACCACATACGGTGCTTTTTGTCTACGTCTCCTCGGCGTTTGGTCCGGTGTAGAACGACTCGCGCTGGTCATGAAACGGCGCAAAAATGTAGATCGGCTGCTAAATTAACGTTTTCGGCAAGGTGACATATATAACTAAATGTGAGTGAAGTACGAATGCTTGATTCGCTAAGGCTTGTCTCATAAATGTACCTTGCAATCGCCCAATTGCCAACAAGTACCGTCAGGAGGAGGGCAGAAACCTCAGCTTAAAATTATTTTCATTTTTTTACGTTGCCCGCCATATAGATATTTTCTCTCTCAGTCGTTCATCTCTCGTTTGAAAGCGATAGACCGAAATCGTAGAGTTCGCCGATAAACCGGCGAACGCGACAAGCCAGCACCCATTTCGGTGGCTGAGTGTCGCTAGCCAAGAGCCGCAAAGATGGGCAAGCCGATCCTTGAGCCACTTCCGAGTTGATTCGCCCGTACCGCGTCGTATGCTTCCGGTTACTCCACGCCGAAATACGCCGCTGCGGCGAGATCTATCTTGGTTTGAATGGGTGAAATGCATTATGGAATATGGGCCCTATGAATGGTTCCTTTTTCAGTGATGCGCCTATCCTTTCCAACGCTTATCATTCAGATGAAAAGAAAAACTACCAGCACACCGACACGGAATATTGTCCGCGAATATACATAGCCTACCTTCGAATGTAAATACGGCCAAGAGTTTGTTTAGTTCTCTAAATTCTAACAAATACTCAAACCTGTTGCACTGACGGGCAAAGATCTTTAACTAAAATGCTCCTTATAACGTGAATAATTGTAACTACAGTTAGTTAATTGTATGTATTTATATAGCTAATTTCATTTCAACCTAATTTTTTTTTGTATCAGCCGGTTTTTACATATGTATGCAACGTTTTAAAGGGACACTGGCAAGGTACTTATGCTTGCCAAGGTATTTTTTATTCATGAAATATGAAGCCCAACTACCTAGACCACAATTTGCGGCTCAAAATTTGTTTTCTTTCTGCCCAAAAACCGCCGATCGAGAACTGGCCGGTTTGAGTCTCTTCTCCATGGTCATGTGCCGTTTTCTATGGTTTAGACACAACCACCAAATATAAACAAAGTCGTAATTAATCGAAGGCATACTTCAATATTAAAATAGACAGGAAATATGATACCGATTTGTTTTGGCTTCTAAAAATATGCAGATACGTTGATTGAAAAAAGAAAGTTAAACAACGTGATTTCCGCTAACACTCTGCTCCTCTGTATGCATTCCTACCGTGCAGTTCAGTTTCGGTTAAAGTTTCGAGCAGGTGCGTTTTTTTTACTTTAATAAAAATATATCTGACGCTGTAGCAAAATATCTATTTCTGACACCGTAATTATTTGCCTGGCAAAAAAAAAAAAACACTTGTGGGGCTGTCAGTGTTTCTTTGAGTGTAACGTTTTGTTGTGACAAAAACCAACAACGACAGCGTAACGCCCGTAAGAAAACACATAAATAAAGTTTAATTTTCTTATATGCTTTGCTCTATGTACGACTAACTCATGGCTAGCTCAGTTGGGAAAGCGCTCCACTGGAAAAGGGGAGGTACCTGGTTTGATACCAAAATCAGGCGTATTTTTTCAGTAGCGCACTAGGTCACCTAGCTGTGTTTGGAGATTTCTGTTTTTCGTTTTCCTCTCCGTTTTCCCCTTTTTCCCCCTTTCTAGGGATTATTATGGTTTATCGTCGTACTTCAGTTCCCCAGCAGAATTTCAACTCAGCACCATGAGATTGTAGGCCAAGTAATTTAAAGGCGATTCACACGACAGACCGAATCGCGATTTTCGTCCGCGGACTGTGTACCACGTGGCCGACACGTCACTGATTCTTGCGATCCGAGCCTCGTCTGCGGACTCGCGGATTGAACTAACCGGGTGTCTTTTTACCTGTCTTAGGTAGTGACGCGTCACTAGTAACGCTTTTCTGTAACTTTGTTACTTTTTTGGTAACTTGTAACGGTAACGAGTTACTTTTTAAAAGTAATTTACCCATGACTTGCTTTTCCCTCAGATAATTTTGGTGTTTTAGTAACTTGAAATGCGTTTAGTCTCTCAACGGTACAATGTTTTCTTCTTTTTTTCTGAGCGACTAAAGCGAAGATGTCTTAATATATATATATATTTTTTTTCAGTTTGCTGGTTTATTTCTTTTATGTGATTTTATCTTCCGCGCGTGAAAGACGCCCCAAAAACTTTGCAATGCTGACGCGACGCAGCTTTTGATACTCTTCCTGGTCCATGTAAAGAAGCTTCTGCAAGAACTCGTCTAGCACGCCACGATTTTTCATGCGGCGGTGGTGTACTGAAATGCTGTGCGCGAGCGCGAAGTGCGTGAGGGCACAAAACCTCCTAGACAGCTCTCAAAGCCTGCACGCAACGTCACATGATGTCACGTCCCGGAGGCCTACACAGGCTCTGATTGGATGCGAGTGCCGCGTCAGCGTTCGCATGGGGCACTTTTCCTATCATAGTCCCACGCGAAAACTGACGCGGCACTCGAATTCAATCAAGGCCCGTGCAGGCCTCCGGGACGTGACGTCACGTCACGTGAAGCGCAGGCTTCAACGCTGTTTAGGAGGTGTTGGAGGGCATCTCCAAATGCTCCCCCGCGAGCCCATGGCTTCGTCCCTCCTACGCCGAGACCTCTTCGAGCAGTGAGATGCTTGTGTCGCTATTATGCTTGGGTTAGTGAAGAGATAATAGTGGAGCTTTGTGCTAAGCCTATGACGGCTCTTCTGTCTCGCTATGCTCGTAACAGCGGCGCAGGATTCTTTGTAGCTCAATGGTAAGTTGGAGTAGTTGGTGTACCATTCAAAAAAAAAAAAAAAAAGGTAAAACAAGCAGCGCATAAAAAACGACACGGACAAAAATGGTGTATACACACAGTGAGCGCCGACTTTCAACTGCAGGTTTCTTTTTCGTGGTAGAAAACGTCGATTTTGCACTTGGGCAACTAAGACACGGTGTTATCGTGCGATCTTGGAGTTTGGCGGCTCTGTGGGGTCGCGACCAGGTACGATCCATCCCTGCTGTCGTCTGCTCGTTGTCTCTTTCGCGTGAATGCGCTTGCAAGACGGACAAACAGCGGAGGTGTAATCTCAGAATAAATCCGTCCGCGGATGAGTCCGTCGTGTAAAACGTCCACTACCGCACTGGTCCTCAAAGCGAAGCGAGGTTCTTTCGCGTTGCATTTGAAGGCCGCACGCCCAGGTGCAGTCAAGCCCAGCACGGCGTTTGTCAGCAAAGGGTGTACTGAAATTCGCCTATGTAGCGATGCGGTGCCGTTCAGACGCGCCTCTCTTCTTCCACCATGGCCATGGTGAAAGAAGAGACAGGCAAGCTTATCGAGAACGCAAGAAATGGCATACGCAGCAGGGAGAGCTTTCACCAATAGACCACGCAAACCACGTTGAGAAGTATAAGGCCAATCATGCATTCTGTGCTTACAAATCTCAGTCAACATAATTAAGCTTGTATATTTTTTTCATACTTTTGCGCACTCGTGGGTACTGGTCGGCAATAATATTAAAAGGGAAGCGAATTTTTGTTTTGGTTGTCCTTCTTTACATTATCTAAAGTGTGTGAAACACCTTCCATATGATTCACCCGCAATCACTCGATTTCGTAGAATACTTTTTAAAAGTTTAACGAAAAAGTAACTATATTTCGCTATAATTTAAGGACTGGTTATAAAAACAGCACGATACCTGTTGGTGGTATCCAATGAAGCGGCCCACGATGTTGGCGTTGTTGACAACGTTAAAGTGAGACAGTCGCACAGGTTTGGGTTCTCCAGTTGTACCCTATGTTAAAAAAAGCCGTAAAGTGTACCATGGCAATCATATAAGAATGGCGTAGTATTATGTTCAAAACAAAATTATCGTACTTTCTTCCGCTTTTTGTTTTTTAAACAACAACGGAAGGTACAATTTCGACCAGCTAGCCTGGCTATAGTACCACCACACGTAAAAATGTGACGAACACTACACGTATATTTAACATCTGCACATATATAAATCCATTAATAAAGGCAGGAGACCTATATGATTGAATAAGAGACTTGGTGCCTTTATAGGTGGCCGTGCTTTCCTGAAAATAAGATATTATAAGGCCACATCACGTGTGGGTGATCTGGCCATTTTCAAGCTTCTAGCTGGTTCAGGCTGCCCAACAGCCCGACGGGCCATCCATATTTGTGCAGCCTATGTATAATTGTACATTTCAGACACTTCGCGGCTGGAAGACCATATCTATGGTAAATCCATTAATCGTCTAGCCCACGTCGAAACACACGTAGTGTACTAGTGATGAGACCCAAGGCTCCGCGTATATTTTCCGGGTCGGGTTTGCAGCGTGGAAAACCCTGCCCAGAATCCAGGCTGGATTGTCACGCGCGTCTCCGAGCGAACGCGGCCGCTGCCGAATAGTTATCGTGCTCGACTCCAATGTAAAAGACCGAGGTTCGATGCCAGGCCTTCCATACACCTTTTTTGTTGTTCTTGTAAATGCCGCGTTCTGGTGAATTCGAGAGCCCCGTTGCCTGTTCGAGGACCGAATATTGTACGCACCAAGCCTTCCGCGCCGATTGTCCCAGAAGCCCACGCTCGTACTTCAGAAACTCTTCGTGGCGACCAGGAGTGAACTTCGCCCTGGCGCTATCCTGCCACTTCGTCGACATCGGCGCTAGCTTTCTTCTATTTTGTGTTGGTACAAGTTCGCCGCATTAGAAGTTTAGTTACCGTCCGTCATTCTTCGCCTCGTCAATTGTTATTAGTTACATTTGTTGGAGCTGCGTGGTATCACATTACATGCTCGTGAAATGTACAACTCAGATGACCTGCAGGGCTCGATCTTTTTTTAAGTCTTGGAAAACTAATCCTCATAGACGAACCCGAATTCCGAGCCAACCGCCACAACCAAGGACTGCCTCCGGAGTTCGGTCAACTGCTAGAGCAGCCGAGGAAGACGAAAACGCCAACGATGGGGAACGAGTGGCAGCAGGCAACGAGTGGTTTTTCCGTTTTTTACCCGCCCTTTGTGCGTCGGAAAGCGGCACCGTTTCACGGCAAGATTCAGGATGACGTTGAAGACTGGCTCATCCGGTATGACTGAGTGGTGCGACACAACTACGCGACACCAGAACCTCACCTGAAGAACATCTACATTCCATTAAAGGGCACCGCTAGGCAGGCACGTAGCCAGGAGGAGGCCCATGGGGCCCGCCCCCCCCCCCCCCCCCCCCCCCAAAATCTTCCATTTTGCATGGGTCTTCCTCTCCCCCCTTCCCCTCATACAGCATTTTGTCATGAGTGGGCCCCCCTTGAAACAAAATCCTGGCTACGTGCCTGCCGCTAGGCGCTGTTTCGAGAACCACGAGCCAACGACAACAGCGTGAATGTCTGCAGGAGTGAGTTGCTGTGGACGTTTACTGCGTAACGCGGAAGGGAGAAGGCAGAAGCCATTTTTCCAATGCGAGCTAATGTCCCCAAAGAGACCGTAACGAGCTTGTTTGAAGACGTCTTTCGCCTAAGCAACCGTGCCGACCCAAAAGTCACAGTCAACAAGAAGCTGTGGGCCGAAATGCGTGGCGTGAGATACGAAATCCTTGGAGGCCTCGTCCGCTACCCGTCAACAACTGTCGAAGCCTTCGTCACTTACGCAACAAACATCAGGAGTACCCTTCAAACGTGCGCTTGTCACTACCAGCGACAACCTGGCGTCTCTGCATTCATCCTGTTTAGAGACAGAATCGCCCTTGTTACCCAGCTGGAAATAACCCAAAGCGTCCTCCGGAAGTAAATCAGGCATTTGCTGCTAGCCGCTAATCGTCCAGCAACCCTCTCTATCGACGATGTTGTGCGCGAGGAAGTCCAACGGGCGCTCCAACCTGAAGTTCCTATCAACACTAGGACGCCAGAGAAACTGACATTGAGCTACGCCGCCATGGTAAGGTGACCGCCGCAAACCAACCACCGAGCCACGGAGCAACCCCAACGAGACCATCCGATGCCGCCCTGCTCAAACCTCGCCGAAATATACCGACGTATGGAGGACGGCGGACTAACGACCGTTTTACTACCATTGCGGAGAAGCCAGCCATATCTACCGCCGTTGCCCCTGCCGGTAAATAGGACTGTGCGGCTTCCACCCAAACTAACCACGCCCATGCTACGGCGAACGATCGTGTGAGATCGAAGAGTACCTCTGACGACCTCAGTCTCCCCCGCCTGGAAATCTGCGTGGGTCTTGGTCGCCGCCACCACGAAGTCCCGCTTCGGATATGCACTGACGTGGTCGTCAGAGCCTCTCGCCATTGTCGCTCCGGAAAAAAACTAAGCGCAGCAAGCCCTGAAGGTGGAGTAGCCGTAGACCGACGATATAAAGAGGCTCCAAAGACGCCGGAGACTTCGTACTCGACCGAGGCCATCCGTCGGAGCGACGCTTCTGCAAAGGTGCCCAATAGTTCGAAAGTGACCAGCGACGGCCACGACGCGTCGACACTTGTGGACATCGGAGCAGTATACTCCATCTTGAGTGGGAGGCTTTCACGCCGTCTTCGGAAAGTGAAAACGCCTTGGGGTGGCACTTAAATACGAACCGCCGGAGAACACCTCATCCTACCAATTGGAAGATGTACTGCCCTCGTCAAGATTCGCTGTGAGATGGTCCCTGTGAAGTTTGTAGATCTGCAAGAGTGTGCGAGATAGTTACCCTCATAATGAGCTTTCTTTGTGTGTATGGCGCCCTCATGGACCTCAGAGCAAACCGGCTGACGCTACAAAAACCTCTTCCACCACCGGAGGAACCCAAAGCGATGCCCTCTGTTGTCAAAGTCCTCGTAAATCATGGGTTCGCTCGAGGTTTGCGAGACAAGCCTCCAGTTGCTTCTAGAAAGAGGAATCGGTGTCTTACATTCAGTAACAGAACTTCAAGACGGGCGCTTCATGGTCCTGGTTACAAATTTCCGACAAAAGCAAGATTCCTTACGAAAAGTATCGGGATTGACCACATTGACTAAATCTACAACTCAGTCGCAATTGCTAAACTTTCAGAAGAGCCGACTTAATCGCAGCACGAGAGGACGCCGCCCTCGTAACTTGACATTGAACCAAAGGGTGCACCTATTGAACGCAAAATGTCCCAAAAGCCGGGTGGATTCATGATTTAAAAAGTTTACTTCGACTTAACATAAAACATTAATACCAAAGAAAGGTACAGACGTTTCGCCACATATGCAGATGGCATCTTCAGTATACACTGACTCAAATGAGGCGAGGTCGACCAGTCTACTTATCACACACGTTACCGCAAACGCCTGGCAGGGACCGTGGTTGGTGTTGCAGACCAATGCGTCACAACGAATAAACCAGGACTGGACGGATTTCCTTTGCCCCCACCTTTGTTTTCGGGCCAGCGTCATCGCATTGTCGAGGTCGAAACTGCTTCCTGTCGTCCAGCACTGTTCGGCAACTTTCGTCTTGGACTGCGTGGCATGGGTGGCCTTGGCAACGTTCATTTTGTGTGCTTTTAGTCTCCTTACCCTCTTTCTGCCCATTTCGCCGTAAGTCGAATGACCATGAGAGTTTGACACCGGACATTTTTTGTCCTTTGACTCACATCACCCGACCGAACACAAACGGTCCGTTGTAAGGACTTTTGTATCACGATGTCATGCAGTGTGCTCTAACACTTGGCTACTGGTGCAAGAAGTAGAAATTGTGGTTGGTGCGTTAGAGCGACGCCATTGTACCTGAATGTTTATTAACGATACGCAGAGGCGAATGCCGAGGGGAAGGCGAATAAGTCACGAGTGCGCGCAACATCTATTGTATCTATTCCCTATGTTCAGGGCGTGTCAGATGCTGTTCGAATAGCTTTGCGTCCGCTGGGCGTACAAACAGTTCTTAAAAAACATTACACCTTGGCGATTGTGTTACCGAATCGAAGGACCATACCCCTGCGGGCGGTCAGAGGGGGGTTCTATACAAAGTGAGTGTGGGGATTGTGACGCAATTTACATTGTAGAAACGGGCAGAAAGAGGGCAACGAGACCAAAACAACACAAATGGGATGTTGCCAAGGCCACTCATGCCACGCGGTCCAAGACGGAACTTGTCGAAAACTGCCGGACGTCAGGACACAGTTTCGGCCTGGACACCCGACGATCCTGGCCCAAGAACAAAGGTGGCCGGAAAGGAAATTCGTCGAGTCCTGGTTCGTTCGTCGTGACGCATCGGTGTGCAACACCAAGCGTGGCCCCCTGCCGGATGTTTACGGTGACGTGTGTGATAAGTAGACTGGTCGACCTCGCCTCATTTGTGTCAGTGGCAGACTTGTACACGTTACTGAAAAAAGTAACCGATTACAATTACAACCACTTCCCTCGTTACTTTTCATTCAACTTTTTTTTTATTACCGTAGCATAATCCGTAAGATCTCAAGCTCAATTTTTCCAGAAAAAAAAGGCTTGACCGTTTTCGTTCAGAGCTGAGTGAGAAACGCCAACATACCCAATCCCTCTCGTGAAAAAAAAAATAAATAAAAAAGCGCTGTTTAAATACATTACTCGCAAGAGCCTGGATAAAGTCGTTTTCCCTTCCCGGCTGTAGTCTCCGGTGTATCAAAAAAAAGAAGTAGCCAAAAAACGAAGCCGTGTGATTAGGCTTACTTAGCATCAAGGTCCCGTGCTTAGTGGTTTCGGGAAAAAAAATCGCCATTGCCCAGAGCTGAGTGACTCCCCCCCCCCCCCCCCCCCCCCCAAAGAATAGATTGTAAAGTGAGAAAAATAGTAATGGGGAACTTAGTAATCAGTTACAGCAAAGGTAATTAAATTACAACAATCGTTACTCCTTAAAGGAAGTTTTTTTTTTTTTCGAGTGATGTGCCTTTTTCGGTGCCGTCAGTTGGTTTGTTGGTTTGGCCCCAATGTTAGAGGTCCGGTGTGGTATCTTTTGTTGAGAGAAGTGGTGCGACGGAGGGTTCCCTTTCCTTCTTTCTTTTTTAAACCCTATATAAAGGGTTCCGTCCTCTATAAAGGTTTAGCTTTGTTTGAGACGTTCTCTTTTTTCTTCCTTGTCGTCGTCTCTCAGTACCTCAGTCTCGGGTCTTCCTTGTCGTCGTCTGTCAATACCTCAGTCTCGGGTTTTTATACTCAAATATTTGAGCCGCCACATTTCTCTGTTTTGCTTGTATTGCTATATTTTGTTTCATTGCACGTTGCATCGAGGTGATGCTCTCTTTAAAAGGTAGAGTAATGCCACGCGTGTCTCCAAGCAAGGACACCGTGGCGGAAAGTTTACCGTCCTTTGCTTCCATGCAAACGGGCGAGGTTCGATTCCTGACCACGGATGCACATTTTGTTGTTTCTATAAATTCCACGTTATTGAAAATTTGAGAACCCTGTTGCTAGTTTGAGGACCGAATGTTCTATGGCACGAAACTTCTACGCCGAGTGCTCAATAAATTCAGTCCTGTAAATAAGGGACTCCGCGAGACGAGCCTGAGTCAGTCTCGACCCAGCACTGGATCCTGCTGCTTCCACGACATCGTCGCCTGCGACATTAGCATTCTTCTATTTTGTTTTGGGCACATGTACACCCTCTTTGGCGTGCTTTCGTTCAGTCATTCGTCGCCTCATCATTTGTCATTAGTGACAATATAATCCTATGTGACCGTATAGGCAATACACAATGACCACCTGGTGCTCTATCTCACTATTTGCGCCTCATCCGAATCAAGCCACTGCAGGGAGAGAAGGGCTGGCGCATTTGAACAAATTTTGAGTGGCCAGATAACATTCTTCGAGGAAGAAAAGCAACTGGGGGGGGGGGGGGGGGGGCAAAAAGGGAGTAAGGAAATAAAGGAGACCATAGCAGCACACTTCCCCGGCTCATACTTGGGCCAGTTTGGCGCAAGCTTGTGCCAGGCTCGAGCCAATTTGGCTCTGGCTCGCGCCAGTCTGGCCCAAGCAAGGGCTGAGGAAGTGTGCTACTTGGGGAGTTTCTACTTCCTTACTCCTCAATTTCTAGCAAAAAAACTCCCACTCTAGTACATATGATAGTTATACGTACAACTATTATCGTTTGAAAGTTAAGAACCACAGTAAAAAAGTGCAGCTTCTCAGGGAGGGTTAGAAATTTCCCCTTCTATGTAGGGAATTGAGATAAATGTAGATGCATTTTACTCGATTAGATATATCTTATCTTATTAAATAGTCCACGTTTTAAACGCCCAAAAGCACCCCTCTTCTTCCGAAAACCAAATGTTTTAGGAACTACTACGCGCGGAGCATGAACAATGCGTAAAACGTCCTTTTTTCTTGACCTGAAAAGGAGTATAGTAAAATTGCGCACGGATAACGCGTTTTAAACCAGCAATTCTTGTATGCCGAGACTCACAGTACTCAGAAGCAAGAAAAGGGGCTGCTCAAGGTTATTTCATAGTGTGTGTTATGCGGCATCGGGGTGCAACCTAATGCTCAGCTGCCGATTCAATTAAAAAGTGCAGGAATTGATGAGTTTATTATCTACCATTTAGAGAGTGTTTCAGTAGATTTTTTGGTCGTGTTAATTCTGAGAGGTTATTTTAAATATATTTCGTATCTTTCTATGCGTGTTTGACGCGCTACGGCGTTCTGGTGTGCAGCGCATAAAACATTTCCTATGAATATGAAACAATTTCGCATGCACAAGTTGTAATATCAATTTCAAATAAACTAGGACGATTGCAACGTACAGTGTGCGTCGACCTTCCTTTGAGTTGTTTTTGACTCTTATTTTGAATTTATAATAATTAGGGTCCTTTTTTAGAGCTCTATCTTCTTAAATAAGGAGAGTGTTGTTCGGAGTTTCATTTCGCTGAAAATTCGGGGTTTTTGTTTTAATTTGCCATTCTTCGCAAGAGAAAGTTTTTTTCCTGTTTTAGTTTTCCACTCTTTAAGAGAAGACTCAATAATACCGAGATATAAACGTACTCTATATTCATCAAAATTTGCCTGTATAGATTGATATGTAAGAAGCTGCATTTAGAATTCATGTTCTTGCCATTGGCTATATTAACTATCCTACAAAGCATCATGCAATGAAGTGTTGCGTTAGCGATCGTCGCTACTTTTAAATGCCTAAAAATCCAGATGTACTTTTTAGGGAGCAAGCTAGATCCAGCTGGCACTGCCGCCTTCTTATGAAATTTCCAGTTTCATTGTTTTCACTGTTATCAAAATACAACCCTGTCGCCTTCCGAACAGTGATCTTTTCGTGATCCGAAATTGCATTGGCCCGATGCTTCAGTGGATTAAATGTGAACTCCCTTTCTGAAGAGACCGATGCTTCAAAGAAATCACAAGTAGCTTTTCCTCAGGACCACCGTCCTTGTGCTTTTAACAAAATTTAGTCTTAAATTAATCAATTTCTTGTTTTTAGTGCCTTTTATATTGCCATCTTGACCTCGAAACTCTTACTTTTTTTCAGATTTATTGAAGGTTATAATACTAACAAGTGTTTTTTGAAGTTTTTATTTTCGAAAACGCGGAATCCTATTATAACCTAGGAAATAATTAATGGCGCCGCTGCTAGAATATGCAAATCCCCATAGTCGGTTTGACCGTGCCATTGAACAGCCCCGCAATTATCCGCGTCGCTCGATGGATTGCGGGATAATCGCGAAGTGTACTACGATTTCCCTTAAGGGTGAATTCATAAAACCTTGAAAAATGTTTCTCAATATGTCGACAACCTCTACGATGGTCCGGCCGGCCGGAACAAACTGCACGACTGTTACAACCTCCAGAGCTTCAAATGCTGCTCTCGTCTATCTGAATCCATGGTAATGGCTTAGTTTTAGAATATTGTTCCATGGGAGATACAGGTGTTCTAAAGCTTAAAAAGTTAGCTTCTTACACTTACCGAGGAAAATTGAATGAAGGCGTCCTGGTCGAACTGCACTTTGGCAGACACGGCGTTCATGGCGACGTGGTGTTCAGCCGTCCCTGAATTTATCAAATCATCGAAAGTAATACTGCCGCTGCGGGAAAAGAGAACGTCGATTAACCGTATTTACGTTATAGGAGAAAATGTCTCTAAGCTACAATCATGTGACGGGCTAGTTGGTTATACAAAACTTCATTCGTCAGTCCTGACGGGCTGTGCGTGTTCAGAGTGATGCCGTTCGGATTTTTCACAGCACCAGCCACCTTCCAGCGTGTCATGGACACCGTGCTGGCATGTCTCAAATGGCAGAGCTGCCTCGTCTACTTGGACGATGTCGTAGTATTCTCACGAAATTTCGACCAACACCTGAGACGACTTTGAGGCGTGCTTTAAGCCAACAAGTGCGCCGGCCTATCATTCAAGTCAACAAAGTGTCGGTTCGCCTATGGGAGACTAAAGTTCGTTGGCCGCGTCGAGAACAACAAAGGTGTCTCTCCCTGACCCAGAGAAGACCCGCGCAGTAGCTGCACTTACTCCGCCGTCTGACAAGAAGGCCGTGAGAATGTTTTTCAGTCTCTGTGCCTACTACAGGCGCTTTGATCGAGACTTCGCCAAGCTGTCCGCACCGCTGACGCACCTTACGAAGGACGCCGTAAAATTTGAGTGGACAGATCACCAGCGGTCATTCCACAAGCTCAAACGAAGACTCTCCACGCCCCCGATTCATGGCCATTTTGATCAGTTTGCTGAAACAGAGACCCACACCGATGCCAGTAACACCGGATTCGGTGCGGTACTAGTCCAAAAGCAGGACGGAGCAGAGCGAGTCATCGCATACGCAAGTCGGACGCTGTCTAACGCGGAGAGGAACTATAGTTCCTCTCCGCGAGGGGTACCTCGCTGTCGTCCGGAATAACAAAGTTTCGCCCATATTTGTATCAAAACCCTTTTCACGTGGTCACCACCCCCACTCGCGCTGCTGGCTCGCGAATATGATTGACCCCTCCGGAAGCCTTGCCCGGTGGAGGTTACAGCTGCAAGATTTCGACATGACCGTGGTGTACAAGTCCGGCCGGAAGCACAATGAAGCCGACTGCATGTCAAGGGCCCCAGTCGAGGCCGCCCCTGCCTGCACCAAAGACGACGCCGATGACTGTTTCCTCGGCGCCCTGAATTTCAGAAACATGGCAGCACTCCAACGAGACGACCCTAAGCTGTGAGCACTCATCAAGCACTTAGAGGGACAAGGAATCGCCGTCCCCCGCGTTTTCGTACGAACACTGCCAACCTTCTCTATCCGACAAAGTGTGCTCTACAAGGAGAACTTAAGTGACAACAACACGGCGTGGCTGTTGGTGATTTCTTCCAGTCTTCGAGAGGAAATATTTTAAGCCTGCCACAATGGCCCGACGGCGGGACATCTTCGCTACTGCAGGACTCTTACCAGGATACGCGAAAAGTACTATTGGCCCAAGCTTGCGAAGACAGTCCACCACTACACCCGATCTTGCCACGAGTGTCAAAGACGCAAGAAACCACCGACGAGACCGGCAGGACTTCTTCAGCCTATTACGCCGCCATCTGCCCCATTCCAGCAAACCGGAATGGATTTACTTGAACCATTCCCACCATCGACGCAAGGAAACTGGTGGATAATCGTCACAACCGATTATCTCACACGGTACGTTGAGACTAAAGCGCTTCCATCAAGTACGGCTCTTGAAGTCGCCAAGTTTATTTATCGAGTTCAATTTCCTCCGTCACGGGGCCCCCGAAGTCCTCATTACAGACCGTGGATCATCGTTCATGGCCCAGCTGATGCAGGGCCATGAACGATGCAGGGCCATGAACAATTTAACAGTAAAGATAGCTGTTTTCTCTCAGCTCATATCAGTGCCGTTTGTGCAAATGCAACTTCATGAGTCCTACTATGCAGGTACTGCAAAACAAACCACAAGTATTTAAAACAATTACTTTATTAGAAACTAATGTGATACATATTGGCTCGAAAGCCTGCTTCGGCTTATCACAGGGGTTTTGTCAGAATAACTAAACAAATAACATCATAAGAAATAATACTAACACACAACTGGTATAACTATTAGACCAGAACGAAAATAAATTACAATGACAAGATTTGTGAAGGCTTGCTTTGCCTGCTTGGTTTTGAGGATTAAGTTAGAATAAAAAATGACGTTTCCTAAAAGCTTTGTTCGTCTACTTGCTGTTTTTTCAAAGCTTTGTTTTTCTTTTTGCAGTTTCTTCTTTTATGGTTTAAATCCTCAGATCAACAAATGCACAAAAAAAAAAATCTAACAGATGTTTAAATACACAATGGAACAGACAAACCTTTGTATTATAGCTGGAATATCCACCAAATACATATGGAAAACATTAAAACAGTAACCGTTATTGGTAATTCTTTTTCCCTGTTCTAGGAATGTGCTCCGAGTGCCGTCACAACTTTCACAGCTCTTACCAAAACCTATGTATTTATTTTAACCATGAGGTGCTCAAGCACAAAACGTATGCTTCGTCAATTCCCCCCCCCCCCCCCCCCCCCCCCACATACTGACCTTTCTATGCTTAGTACATGGCTAATACCCGAGAGATTCTTTCTGAGAAGTCCAGGACGTCAATTCACAGGTCCTCGCAGACAACGCACATGCTGCCAGATGTCCATGGGTGCTTTCCAGTGAAAAGTAACGCCGGGTTCCCGAAAGTCTTTACTGGGTCCTGAGGAAAAAAAAAGCCAATGATAAGAAATAAGTTCTGGAAGTCAGACGAAGTTGTAGGTTAGAAAAGTAAAATTGTCGAGAACATGTTAAGTGCCCACAGTGTCATAGATGGAAAGTGCATGCAGCAGAGTGAAGGCAAGTGAGGCGGACGCCCATTGCTGCCTTTCTATATTTCGCTTTCCCCAATTCTCACTTGATTGTGAAGTGTTTCGTACGGTGGAACCAGTGCGTCAGGGTGTCTACCGAATTGCTGATTTCAAATTCCTTCACTTTTCTAGAATTCCCCTTGACTATTTTGATAAAAACTTCCTGACTACTTCTGGGTCAAAGGATTATAATTCGGAAACGTTATTCAGCATAGTGGTGCCCTTGCGCAACCGTCAAGCTTTGTTCCGTATCTTTGCCCTGATGAAGCCAACTTTTTGACGATTTCCCTGAGAATTTCAGGTTGGTAGACACCCTGATGATGTATCAGGTTACAGATGGACGCCATAAAAATGCAGACTATTGCATTCAAAATTATTTTAGCCATCAGGAGGAACCTAAAATATTCCCGTGGAGAGAGATAGAGAGCGGAGGGGCGGGGGAGGCTGCTGCTGTTATTGTCTACTTTTTCTTTTAAAAGAATACCAATTGAAGGCTCAAAGGGAACGTAAGTAATAAATCAGTAAGTGTACTGAGAGCACTTGAAGCACAAGGGGCACGATCCCTACTGAGGAAAGAGGGGAGGGTACCAAGTCTAGCTGAACCTGTTCTGCAGCACCCTGCATAAGCTAGGTGCTAGGCAAGACTGGGGCTTATCTACTGAGACTTTCTAGTACAGTCACAGAAAGCATTATAAGATTCTTTGCTGGGTAAGCTGCATCGTGGCTGCAATGAAAAAAAAAAGAGTACATTAGGACAGGGACAAGGAAGGAAGGGAAGACTTTTTTCTGAATAAACTAGTTGGTAGTGTGCGCTTGTTTCTTCCTTTCTCGTCCCCGTCTTATTGTGCTCCCTTTTTAGTTGCAACGAAAGCAAGCCACGATAGAATTTAGAGGGCTTAAAGCTTGCTTTAACATCTGTGTGCATGTGAGGGAACGCTTCATGTACAAGGTCTACTACAAGGTGGTAATCATCACAATTTTCCATCTGAGTAACCAAATAATGCATCCCTGAATTACAAAGTATCCTATAACTTTTCGTGTGCTGTACCGATATAGGCATCTTTTGCATGCAGAAATTGTGGGACACTAAATCTAATAGTAATTTGTTTATCATCTTTGCTTAGATAAATGTTTCTGAAGTTTGGCAGGAAAGAACCGCCTTCCTACATAAGCCCGAATCTAGTCTTTGATTTGTTTTGAAGTCATGGCCAAGTACTCCTAATAAAATATTGAAATAACCAGTTGAGAAGACAGTGAATGATACTTATCTCACTTGGTCTCCAGCTTTAAAAAAAAATGTTTACAGATTGGCATAGCGAAGACACCCTTTCAAACAGATTTATCTTAAACAACCATAGTTACATGTGATTTAGCTTTAGCATGAGTAGTTACATCGACCACGCAAACGGCACGGCTTTCCTCTGCTCTTGTCCCTTCCCCTATCGTGTTTTATTTTGCGAAGATCGGCATTAATAAGAATATTGTAGGCTCTGACGACAGCAAACAGGGCTTGTTAGTGGTTGTCCGCACCAATTTAATCATAACAGTCTAACCCTCTTTTTTAAGAATGCAAACAAAAAGATGCTCTCCCCCTAAAAAAAAAAGGAGTAAAGTAGATTAGAGTATGACCATAGCACCTCTATACTCACAAAGCCTGCCAGTTCGACGACAGAGTCATAGAGTGCCTGGTCACAGATTTGGAGCGCGAGGATTTAGTAGCACAGAGCATTAAAGAGCCGTTCCTCGGGGAACCTGGACGTTAGCTCACAGCTTTTGCAGTGGCGAGGACCCAAAACATACTTTTTTCGTGCTTCGCGTCCGCTGCGGCGATACTCTTGTCCGTTGTATGCCACTCCACCTTTTCCATTTCGGCGACCGCTTCTTGTGGCAAATCTGCCAGGTTTTGTCAGTATAAAGGAGGCTATGGTATACGACATATACTGGTGCTCTGTAGCGGGGCGCCATCCTGCTGTGTAATCTTTGGGCAGACCCTTTGTCCACAGAACTCTGAGCATGAAGAGGTTATCTGTCCTACCTGTGACATTATCTGCAACTCACAAATTTCAGTGCTGCATTGGATTGTTCACAGCAAGGCATGGAAGTGAGTCATGTTTTTTTTTTCATCCGGAAAAACGCAAAACTTTGAAATGGCCCAATTGTTTACCTCGGCAAAAGCTGCACGGTTCGGGGCACAGCCACGCAGGCGGCAA